AGGAAGTCTGTAAGTCTATGGCTAATTTATTGTGATAATCAATCAGATATTATCTTTTTTCATCTTCAGTTCATTTTAAGGGTGCATAAATGTTAAAATCGGAATTACACTGCCTCACCTGTTCCTGGAAAATCCATCAACAAATGAAAGATGACTGTAGAAGAGAAAACGAGCAAAAAAATTGATCATTATCTCAAGAATAACATTTGAAACAATGAAAGAGTTTATTAGATCTCGAGTTAGACTATTGCTAATGGAGATTATTTGCTACATACCCTTTGGCATCTACCCATGACTTTTATTACCTTCCCTAGGGTGCAGAAGGATAAATTTTAAAAAATGCAGCATCTCCACAATTTACCAACCAGCTGAACAAAACTTTTCACATGTAGAAAACATTTTTAAGGATGCAGTAGACCTTCGCGAATGTCCTTCGAAAAACTTTTTTACACGGGCAATTCGGAGTGCAACCAAACTATATAACATTGAAAAGGTGCGCTATTAAAAAAAAAATGTCCCGTTTTAGCTCGCAACAATTCGAAACGGACGATGCTTTATTAAGCGAATTAATCAGGTATCGATTCTGACCGCTCAAATAAAAATTCTGCTCAATTTCAATCTTGAGGAGTTGGTCTCCAAATTTAGTGAGAATTTTTCCATATTCTTGGGAGTTACTAAACTATGGATCAGCAGACCGCGGAACCTCCACCATAGATTTTTTTTATAAAAGAAGAGCAATGAGATTAGTATAAAGTTTGATTTCGGGTACAAAGGAGAATAATTTAAAAGACAAGTATGTTTTAATTGTCCATGACGTCCAACTTGGCGAGCATTCGGCAATCATCTACTCCGAGTGTTAATGACTGAACAACAATTTGAAAGCTCTAACAGTTTGGGCATCTGAATAGTGCCTCATCCGAAAGCTCTCAGAAAAGCTTTAGGCTGGAATTCATTGAACATGACCCTGGAATGAGGAACACCATCGTATCATTTCGGGGTGATCCATTAAACATAACTAATAATTTATCTATTATTTGAACTATACTTAAATTAAAAAAGAATCTCCATGTGGCTGTAAGGAGTTCAATTGCTGAATTTTAATTCGTAAAAATAATCAATTTCAAGGGTTGTTTGAATTATTTGACTCTGAGTGCACGTCACTTTAACCCCTCAGCTCATTCAGAAAAGCAGCTATCGAAATTCATGGATACTAATGGTGTTTTAATTTGCGATAAGAAAGGAAAAAGTACACCAATTGAACCATTTTTTTCCAAATACCGGATCGAATGTTAAACTTTGCATCTAACGCCAGTTTAAGTGGACCCTGATGATTAAGTTCGATCTCTTGTCTAAGCACGTCCAACGTTCAGCAGCTATCTGAAGTCGACACGTTTTTCCCTTTTCACATCTTGTCATAGTGGTATAAAACGATAGCAACTAAGTTATCGTGTTCCTGTTATCCTAAATATGGCTGCTAAAGCTGTTGTGCAGACAACTATGACGCAAACAAGATGACCACAGCATGAATGTCTCGCCTGTGCTTTTTGATCTTAAATTGCTTTGCACTATATGAAATCTAAAAGGCTTCAGGAATCCAATTTGTAAGAGATCCTTCTCCGATTACGAACTAAGAGTTTAAAGCGGACACCTTTAGAATCTGGTTTGTTCTGTTTTAATGAACAGTGCCAATGTCCGCCAACTGACATTTTCTTTCGGCCAAACTTCACAGGACGTTCAAAAATCGATATAAATGTTTTGCAAAAGGAAAATCAAGATATAATTAGGTGGTTACTATACTAGCGCACAACTTTTAAAAAAGGTTTTGCTCTCTTTGTGGGATTCAGTTGTACTCATCACGCAATTTGATAGCTACCGCACAACAAACAGGAATAACTAGCGTCGTACTTACCCAGCACACAACATGCTAATAGAGTTTTGAAAATTTTTCCGGATTCAGTTCCATTCATCATCCACTTCATCATGGCCAAGATATGCAAAGGTTGCTGTTAAAAGGTATCGTTACACTAATATTTGATTCTCCCAGCTTGAGAGTTGCGGATATACGGCATCTTATAAAAACCTTTTGCACGAGACAGAGTTTAATGCAAATTATGATCTCTGATAGCTTGTTCCTGACGTTTGTCTCCCTTTTTTTTTCCCGTCAAAGACGCAGCAATAGATAAAAGGCAGCTTGCACCAGATGTGAAGCATTGTTTTTCTTAATATAATCGGAAAACTTCACGGAATTAAAATACTCTTTATAATTCCAATTTTATAAAGAAGCAGCTCAAAAATAATTGATGTTAAGAATGGTTATTTCTTTATCAGCTCCGCTAAATGAAAGTTTTTTTAAATCAACTTCTGTTTTATCAAACGGCAGCTAAAGCTAGCACGCCATCTGTTCGTATGCATAAACGGAAATGATTATTGTTTATGCTGCCGTTTCAGTTGGTGGGTGGTGGTAATTATTTCGCAGGCCTTCAACTTTGGTGGATTAACTCACTCATGTGTTAATAACATGTATTAATATTTTTACAGCACGGTAAACTCCGAGTCAAAGGATTCCTTCTCGATTTTCTTAGACCGTGAACTCGATGTGAGTTTACGTAAAGTTGATCGTTAATTTATCAAAAAACCAACGGAGGCCAACGGCCATAGTTTAGCGTTCAGACTACAAAACAACTCTCCCATGCAAAAGCGTCATGCAGACCATTACTTTTGTGTCCAGATGTTTGAATTCCAACCAGGAGCGGTGGGGTCAAAATATGAAGTAGCCTTAGCTGCAATAAAGTTAGCCAATCGAAGCTTGAAACGTTTTGAGATATCACTTCTTCCGCCTAAATCGTACGCTTCTTCATCCATGCTGATTTATAAAGAGGTGCAATGTTTAGGTTGTTATAAACCGAGTTAGACACATCTACATGTTCAACTCCTTCTTTCGCTGGTTGAAATTCCTCTTCAATGCTAGCCTCTCCGTTGTAGTGATATTTGTAGTGATTTCTATCCCTGAGCTTTTTCCCGTTAAATTGTCTACTCTGTGTAAAAGTTCTTTAATCGCTGTTTAATGAAGTTTGCGCAAGAGAATATAATCTCTTGGTTAATGCCATTTACGGCTAGCATCGCCCCAATTGAATTCCAGATTATTCGATGTATTTTCGATTCAAAATGCTACTTCTTATCTTAGGGATGCGAAAAAAAAGAAAAAAGAATAAAACTGGCAAATATAACTGATCAAAAACGATCCAATCATGCGGGTTTTTCTGTCCTTATAAATTAGCTGTTTATTACATTACTCAACATCACTCTACTTATTACATTACTGTACTTATTGGATAAGTCGCTTTTACTTATTTCTTATTTATACTAACAGTCACTTAGTAACAGTCACTTACAGCGTCATGTTACTTACATAACGTTACTAAACAGAACATGACTTACAATACATTACAATACAAAACTCGCAATTCGCTAATGAAGCTCACTTGCCTACCTATAATTACTTAAGTACTTTACGAAACGGCACCTTAATTACCTTCTACGAACACTACAAAGTAAATTTAGAGACAGTGTTGGTAGAAAGAAAAGATAAGATTTTGGGCTTTGATTTAGTGTGTCTGTTTAAATTGGCTGGTTAAATCAGGAAAAAAAGGCTTGGCGGGAAAATCTGTGAATTAGGGATGAGCTTCTTTAAATTCCTGCATGTTTGGTTTCTTGTCGAAACATTTTCAAGGGTAAATGAATAATTAGATTAATTAGATTAAATAGATTTGATTAGAATAATTAGAATAATTAGAATAATTAGAATAATTAGAATAATTAGAATAATTAGAATAATTAGAATAATTAGAATAATTAGAATAATTAGAATAATTAGAATAATTAGAATAATTAGAATAATTAGAATAATTAGAATAATTAGAATAATTAGAATAATTAGAATAATTAGAATAATTAGAATAATTAGAATAATTAGAATAATTAGAATAATAATGAAAAGGTGTAGTCTGTGTCTCGGGAAATCGGTTAGGTGAGTTAAACGGGGGATGTCGTTAAAAGTTATTTGTTTATTTGAAAGTGTAATGTCGGTGTCATTTTCCTGGTTGAACCATGATATGGCTTTGAACGTCAACTTTAGCTGCTACTACTATGGGCATTTTTTTGTTACGGTACAATTTAACCCACAGAAAGAACACTATTAAACAACTTTAATATTCTTACTAAGGAGCGACTCTTAAAGGAAGTACACTTTTATGCTAAATAAACTTATTTAAGCCCACTACAAATTACATCTTAGCTCACCACTGACACAATCTCACAGTTGTCTCCCAAGTTCCTCGAAATTAACAATCTTCCACAGTAGCTCTCTTTCATTAGAACTCTTTGAAAAATCAGTCACTACCGACAACAACAACTACTACTGCTGCACGATTGAGTCCTTTGTACAAAGTGTTCCAGATAATTCCAGAAGCTTACAACAACCACTTTGGTGGTGTTACACCATAGCTACGCAACCTAATAAAATATTGCAGAAAGTTCCTTTGTGTGCATGTCAGCATGACTACGTATTCTAGAAATTTCTAGAAACTGATAATTTCAGTGACTATCCAAAGCCTATAGTTAAAACTAATAACAGTGTTTGATACGAAGTTTATAAACTAAGTAAGTGAAACAAAGCAGTCATCAGCATACAGAGCCATTAGGAATTTAAATTTATAGATTGGTTTATTTCGATGATTCTTGCCGGCAAATATACGATCGCCTAGAAAATAAACTTATTATCATAAAAATGATCGGTTACAAAGACATCAAGTTGAATGCTTAAGCAATAATGCAGACACAGACCTCTTTTTACCAGCAGATCGTAACTCAGACCGATCGTAAGCGACTTATTGCTGTTAACTAAGTGATTGTTCTAAGTATTTGGTTGTTATTTCCGATTGGCTGAATCAAGTTATTTAACTTAAGTACAATTTCGATTCAAATTCAGCACATGACTGCAATTAAATTGCCCATACATTCCCAACCTCGTTTAGATTGACCTGTGGACTCTTCCTTGTGGAGTTGTCCTTTATAGAAGATGGAAAAACGATGTTCATCTTTCTTTTGAATCGCTCTTTGATCTGCAGATAGACGAGCAACACGAAATATGGTTCTTAGCACTCGAATATTTATTGAAACACTAAAACTTGATGATATAAAGTTAATAATCAGTTCAATGTTTTTTCTTACCTGAGTGTTTCGCATACAGTGTAGAGCGAAAATCAGGAAACCCTGCAGCATAAAAATGATTTTTAGATCATTAATTTTTACAATTTGCAAACAAATTAGTCAACTATCTATTAAGATTTCCAAGAAGGAAGGAAAATTGCACATCTTATAATTGAAAAAGAAGTCTGCCTTCTCTTGCATAGTTGACACCTTTTTGTTTTAAAAATTCCAAAGAAATGTAATCTGACCATCCTAATGGTGTCTCACTTGGTCAGAAAGTAAAATAAGTAATAGCGATTAATGTCTTTTAACAGTTACCATTGAATACTGACCTGAGTAGAGTTAAGTATGGTGAAGATGTAAGCGAAAGCTTTATTTACAGGCGAGAGGAGACCGAATAGCCACATGACACCCAGCTGGGGAATCATCACCACGCATGTTTTGATGCCAAGACTAGGAGTTAGAAAAAAACATTCTTTTACTTTCCTTTGACAATGAATTTTTATGTTGATGCCTTACTGATTAAGGAATGAGAAAGCTAGGCAAATATAGCCCCACAGGAGGGCATGGCAATGTCTTCCACTATTTTTATGCTGTGATTCTCACCGTATTTGCTGAAAATGGTGGTCTCCCCCTGTTGGCTGCAACAGATTGGTCATCTCCCTTATTACACGTAGGAGTATCAAAATGTTGAGCTTAAATATACCAAAAAAAAGCGATTATTTAGATATGGATGTCGAATAGCCAAGGTATGGGAGGATCTTTGCCAAGGAAGTTACTAATTCGGTAACAAGCGTGGGATGAAGAGTAATTTACAGGGAATAGAGCTCCCAACAGGGGGACCAAGATTAGGAGCTTCGATCTCTGCCAATGAGCAAAAGAAATCGCGCAAAAAAGTGTCTAAACTGAAAGAACCACGCCAAGTAAAGCCTTATGTTAAATTATATAAATTATATAAATATATCCTACTCTCCCTGCTCCTTTCACATTTTTCATTTTTTTTTTTGTTTTTTTTTTTTTTTCACGAGTTATTTTTGCGTTGAAGGAAGGGGCAGAAGTTTTTTGTTCATACTGTGTAGTAAAAGTTGGAGAATTTATGAAGCTCTCTTATGCCTGTGAGGACATTGTCTCCACAGGTTTTTCTCGCTATTGAAGACCATCAGTAGGTTAAAATTGACCAGCATCCCCGCAAACAGCGGCTACGTCCAAAGCTTTTTGTGAGTAAATAGGAAAAAGAAAATGGTAAATATTGTCTTGGGTCATATCATAAATACTTAATTCGTTTTAAAGAGCAGAGGAAAAAATCTTTCGCAGCAATTAGTCCAGGGAATACCAATCACAATCACCAACACTAATCATTAACTCACAACTTCAATAAACGCCACAAAGGCGACAAATATCCAGATCAGGTTGTTAGTCGAGGAAAGCCAGCAACTAAACTCGAGGAAGTGAAACACAAGAAAGATATACACATTGTCAGAAAATAAAATGATACCTATTTCAAACTATATCCAAAAACAAAACAAAGAGTTAAATGCAACAAATTAAAAGGAGAAGAGCAAGAAGAAACCCTTGAATTTTTTTCTTACTATTTATCACTCGTATAGCTTTGTAACCCTTCTTTTCCAGCAGCGATGCCAAGTGAAATGGCCACCATGATCACTGGAAGACCTACCCATAAACAAAGGAAGGATATCAAAACATTTTACCGCATCACAACACCAGATTTAGCGATCCGAAAGTATGGGTACAGTTACCAGTGCATGTTTTAAAATAATAAACTTACCCCATGACATGACGTGATACATGTACATCTTGGTGTTAATGTTGTAAACTTTCACAACAAAGAAGTAGAAATAAATTCCCTCGATCAGCATCCAACAGAAAGCGGCCATCAAGAAATACTGCATCATAGCTGCTATTGTAATACAGGCAGCCTGTAAAAAGAAAGAGTTTTTTGGTATAATTCTAAATGTGCTTCTTTCGACAAGATATTTAGAGTGTAAAGAGGAAATTGCTTCTATGGATAGAAGGAGAGGCTACTTACTTTGTTTTCAGTGGCGTTTATTCCGGCTAGGAAGATAATCTGTCCAGCTCCAAGGGAAATAGAAACACTCAGTCGAATTTGAGAGAGAGGTTTACGAACATCTCTGGTAAAATAATATTAAAAACAAGAAGAATGAATGAGACAAAAGCAACAACACACAGGAAAAAATGGGAAAAAATTAACTAAATCTTGACAGCGAAGGAAAGAAGAAAGTCAGTAAATAGCTCCAGAGAGGACAAAAAAAGAAAATATTACGAAGAAAATGTCTAAAGCCTAAAAAATTCATAAAAAGTGAAACCATTAGTTGTTCAAAAGTTCGTGATGGGGCATGAAATGTAGCTTGAGTTTGTGAATAATCCGACATGACTGTTCTTGTTTGCATGGAGACTGGCATTGAGATCTCTTTTATCACCAGCCTTGTTGAGGAGAGTTAAGAATCTACCTCATTATTAATCGAGTGCATTGCTTACGTGAGGCAAGAATAAAGTATTAATGTTAAAAGTATCCCGATTATGGAAAGGCTCAGTCCCACGTAGGTGGCAACTTTCAGAATTGTTTCGTCCTCCTCGGTGAGCTGTGTCAAGAAAAGAAAAATTGAAGGACAACATTGAGTTAGTTCATTGAGCCCATAAAACTATTAAGTAAGGCAAAAATAACTTTATTACCTTTGTGCTACTGTCGTAGTCCAGTAAGACGGCAAAATGCGTCAAATGATTGCAACTGCAAACTGTTTCTTTTGAGTTACTCTTTGATGTAACTACATGACAACCTTCCTCTGAAAAACTGTCACACATGAAAAAGAGTAAAGTTGCGAAAAAAAATTATTCATCGTTTGGGTAAGAGGTGATGTTTGACAAAACATCTGAGAAAGTTCATTCATTCTCCTCCATACTCAATTTAATTTAAGAAGGAATAAATACTATTCAATAATATATTGTAGTTTTTTTACCTTTTGCTGGGGCCACTCCAAAACATACAGCGCTTCTCTGCTGTCAAGACCTGAAAATAGATTTTATCTTGTCAGAATACACCAAAACAACGCATAGGAGCTTATTTTCATGTTACCTTTAGGTTTTTGAAGTTTAGGATGACATTTTCTCGCAATTTCTCTGGCTTGGGGTCCATAGTTACGGCCATTATCCTGGAGTTGATATACCTATGAAGAAATTGTAGTTAAAAATGGACCAGAACCACGGAAGCAATATTACATATTTTTGGTAGATTCAATTAGCCAATTTTTCATGAAGGTGGAATGGTCAGAGACAAGCAGGGAGTCTTCCAACTCTAGCTAGGGTTTTTGGAAAGTGTGTCAGTTCAGTTTAGTTGAACTTAGATCTTATGTGTTTCCGTGTTATGTGTTTTTAGAGGTAAACGACATGGAGTAATATGAAAATAACGGCACCTTTGGTTGTCTGTTTCACTCCTTATGGCTTGATCTGTCACAAGTAGGTCATGCAGATCCTTGTACAAAAACGCAGCTACCATTGATCCTTTAAACGCCCCAAGAATCAACAAAAAATGTTTTTAAACAACAACAAAAAGAACAATATTGAAATGTTTATCAGGCTCTGAGGTATGTGACATTTTAGGGAAGGCGAATGATTAAAGAAGTTAGACTATGTAACCTAAGGAAACGCCTTTACATGAAGCTTTATTTCAATAAAGAAATTTCTATTGGAGAAACCAAGGTAATACTAAAAGTTGTTAAGTTACCACAATAGTTAATACGAACCATTTTCCTCAAAATTTGAAGAAGCGATATCGATTCTCGCTCGCCATTGTTGTTCCTCAAAGTCGAAGCCACTTGCATTCAAATGATAGGCTTTTTGAATGACCAAAACTGTCGGAAAGAAAAAATGACAAATGAAAGCACCTGCGGTGAAATTTGCAATAGCACAACTACACATTGGATGGAAGTGTATTGTTTATTTCGTATTTGCCCTTCAACGACTATTCGACAAATTCAACCATTTTACAACGTTTTTTTAATGTAAAACTGATGAAAAAGTGAGTAGTACTGCACCAACTAAAATTGTGAAAACTCAATTCGTTCCTCGAACCGTTTCGTTGGAGAACTATAGAGTTCATAAGGAAATTTTTACGAGTACGGTTAAAAATCTTGCATTTATGTGCATCGCAGACGATTGGCCAATTTTGAGCTCAGTGTATAGTATGAAGTAAGCGGAAAGTATTTCTAAGATTTGACAATTTTAGTTAGTAAAGTGTTACTCACCAATCTGATATTCAAGAAAAGTTTCAATAAACAGATCGAGAAGAACGGTTTCACAATTTGAAGGATTCCTATTCTCTCTTTTGATTGTTTGAGAGAACGTTCGATTTCCTTCTCCACCGCGAAAAATCAAAGTATCAAACAAATTGAAAAAAAAATAAAAACAAAAACAAATGAATCGATGACATCCAACAATAACATTTCTGATAAGTTGGGCTAATATTAGGCTAATAGCTGAGTTCTTACATCATCTAGCCATAGGAAATTAGACAACTCAGTGGGACAGTCAGCAAGTTAGTAAGTAACAGAGGAATTGACTTTGAACCTAAACAGGATGGAAGGCCGCAAACTCACCCATTTTGGGGGAAACGATCCTTTCTGAAGGCCTCATTCCTCTCAGGTGTCGGTTGCCGTAATTAAGAGCAAATTTCTCAACGGCCTCTGCCACCTCAAAGATGTATGTTTTCAGTGTTTTAACCTCTTCTAGGCCTGCCTTGTCTTTTGTGACGTTCTTGATTTTTATGGTGAAATCTTCAAACATAGTAACAGCCTCCTACAATTACGTAAAATATTTCCAGGTCATTAAACAGGCAGTCTCATACTGTATATACAATTCATACTAAGGATCCAAATGGTGTCCAGGGTATTCATTGGCCAGAGAACTCTTTTGGGGGCCTGGATTATTTTTTAAGCTTCACCATTTTTACCTCATATGGCTTAATGGTGGTTTATCCTTAAAGGTCAGATATTTACTTTTTTATCGTTTAAAAACATATACCAAAGTTAAAAAGCCTTTAAGTCGTATAGAATTAGATACCTGTAGGGAAGTCCTTCTGGTAATATTTATTCCGCCAAATTTTGATACATACTCCTTTGCCTAAAATTAAAAATATTATCTCTCACGTTTGTAAACAGAAGAGATCTTGAAAAACGACATGCATAAAAACGGTAAATGACTATTTAGAGAACATACTAGCTGTTCAACTGGTGATGGCGATGGCGATGGCGATGGCGATGGCGATGGCGATGGCGATGGCGATGGCGACGGCGATGGCGACGGCGACGGCGACGGCGACGGCGACGGCGACGGCGACGGCGACGGCGATGGCGAGGGGAATGGCGATGACGAGGGCGATGGTCGTGGCGACGGCGACGGGGACGACGATGCCGATGCCGATGGTGATGGTGAGGTTGCAAGGTCTATTCTGGGTGATAGTAAAGGCGACGAAGTTACTGAAGATATTGAGGAATCTTGAAAGAAAAATGTTAATCAAGACCACATCATACAAAAAAATTGCCTTACTATTACACTGCGAGGGCAAAACTGCGAGCGGAAAGGGGAGTAACAAAATGGCCGCCAATAAAGTTCAAAACTCTTAAACGCACTCGATTTTTTATTAGTTATACAGAAAGCTCCTATTGTTTCTTTAGCATTTTATTCGTCTTTGGCAGACATCTTGTGTAATTATTGCTTAGATGGGGCTGTAGGATGTTTTTCGAAAACTACACACCAAAATACTAGAGAATGAAACATATTTTGTAGACTTTTCCCTAATAGCTGAAAAAGCTGTTACACAATATTTCAATATCCTGTTCCGCGTTTTCTTACTTGAATAATATTCCACCAATCAAATTCCATTTTGGCTCTTTAGACTTCACTTTACAACGTGTCGTTTCCTTGGAAACAACCTGCATTTTATCACGTATTCGAAGCGCAATACCCAACACCACTGAAAAAATATCACATGGGACTAGATGCTACTGATAATTGATTCTCCACACAATTCTGGTTGCTTGAAAAGTTTTGCTCTTTTCCTGTTTCAAGACTGAAAGCGTTAAGAATCCAAAGTGTCCCATCTCATCTACGCATGCCTATGTATATCTTTTCGGTGCGCAGAACATCAATTATATTCCAACTCAGTATTATAACATAGCCAGTAAATTTGTGTAATCAAATTCAATTGCGCGAGCGTGCTTCATATTCCCATTGTGCGCGCTCATGATGTCAGCAAGCAAATCCCTCGAGAAAAAACATTTTCCACTCAAGAAGCTACGCCTCGAGCAACTCTTACGCATCTTTCGTGCTCTCCAAACTTCCCGCGTGCTTTATATCTCGATGAACGCACGCTGACGTATGAACCAATTTTTAATTGACTACCTTTTTGACAAGAAAATGTATCACCCTCTGGTGATATATGAGAATTGAAGTAATCCTTACTAACCTCGTTATAGAGTAATGGTTGCTAAGTCGATCGAAATGTCCGCCATATTCGAATTGGATGCACGATGGTCAGTTTATTATGTTCACTGCACATTTTGCATTGCATTGAAATTAGCCCCTACAACTTTACAGTTCAAACGATCGGATATTAAAATAGAATACAGTAGACTTAAAATTGATTCCCCTATCCGAAGAACAAATAAGTCTGCAAGTCTGTTGTATTTGTTTTAGAAAACGATAATTGGCATGGTTCTTAACCGACATGAGTCACAAGCTCTTCAAAAAGAAAACGCTCTTCACATCATCACGCGTTATCGTCTAACAAAGCAATTGGACTGATAATTCTTTGCAATTGGTATTCGCCATCAGTTTCATAACTGTTGTTATTCGTAAAAGTGATTGTAACAGAACCATCTGTAACTTTCCCCTGTTCACAAGGTTAAAGTTAGACATGTATATCGTGAAAAAGTTCATTGAGATTGTTTCAAAAATATTTCAATTTACGCAAAGGTAAGTGTAAACTTGATTTTGACTGTGTGAGGGTTTTTATAATTTCTCTCGAGAATACCACGAACGTTAGCAAATAATGTTTTATATCGCCCTTAAGCGCTTCTAGTGCCTTTGAGTTTACTCAAATAACATTAAAAAAATAAAAAAAAAAACAACAACAACAAAAACAACATATCAACTCACCCTTGGGGATCTCACAAATATAAGCGTGCTGTTTTTTCCCACTTGTACCATTATCACTTCCAAATACGCCCTGTTCGCCATTACGGAACCTCTTATACATGAAAGCCGCGTTGTGTTCACTACTTGGCTCCCCTTGTCCCCATTTAGAAATAGTCAGCGGTCTTCCACTCACCCAGGTCCAATTCCTGGCCCTTTTTTTTAAACCAATTCTCCATTTATTTTCATAGTTCGTAGTATTTCGCCTTTGAATTTCGTCATTAATTAAACTCCATTCTTCTTGGGTTTCAAAGGAAACTAGGTCCCCTCCTAGACTTGAGCAAGTGTGTCTGCCCCAGTACCAGGACTCTCCATCCACCGAAATTATGTACCAAGAGTTTTTAAAAGTTATATTTGGGCATTCTACATGATGATGAAGATGAAAACAAAAATACCAATTATCCTAATGATGATACACAAAGTGATGATTATAATAACATTGATAACATGAAAAGATTATAACCACAATCACAATAAAGGAAAAAATGAATGAGACAGAAAACGGGACTCATTCCCCAATTAATTCCTTTTTCTTTTTTTTTTACATCATATGTATTTGTTTGATCAGTGTCAATCAATACAATACATCTTTCTTCACTAAGGCGTCCGCCACCCTGACCTGCTTTTGTGGATTAGTTAACTTCACATCAGCTAAGATTATTTGTGAATTCATGTAATTTTGGTGGTCAAGTTTTTGAATATTAATTAGTTCCTCGTTGAGCTGACACCTTCCCCACTCCGCCCCCTACTCTTCCTCCTCTATCTAATCAGACTTAAAAAACGTAAAATTAAATGTGAATGTAGGTTCCCATAAATGTGCAACTGGAGATACGCATTTAACCGTATACAGTTGTTACCGGCAAAGAGCAAAACTTTAAAGTGCAGGCGACAACCTCAAAAGATTATCTGGGGAACGATAATCATTAGGGACATAAAAATTAAAGATAAATTAATTAGGGTTAGCTCATGCAGTTTAGAATTTAAAGTCAGTCTTGCAATTAAAATAGGTTGTTCAAACCCGTGATGCCTCCTCCTTAAAGTGACATTTCCTAGATTTCCCTGAATTCCTGAGGTCAAGTCTAACCATGACCTAAGAGCTACCAGCAATACCTTTCAGGTTATCGCTTACACTTCCGACACGCTTTTTTCCGATAACCTTTCTCGAAAGAACTGCATTTATTATTTGTTTTTCTCAGAGGGTACGGTAACGGATCCTGGAATCTTATTGGTACTTAATGCGGTCCGGGTTTTCCTATCTCTGCCCACGGGCAGGGTATCGCTTGAGCGAGCTGCCGATTACATCTTTAGCTTTATTGCCATTTTTCATAAATGTATTTCGTTTTGCCGGCTGGACAGTATTTTTAAGCAAATCGTTTTGGAGCAAATCAAGCCGATTGATAACTTATTCATTCTCTCTTTCTCTCTCTCAGATCACTTTGTTTGCCTGCAAAAAAATTGGTTTTGAGATGAATATTGGTAGCAAACATGTCATTAGATGGGTTAACGCACGGCCTAAAAGCCGCTTGTAATTAACCTAAACCTTACTAGAAGTAACTCAGAAAGTTAAAACGTGAGGTATTTCTTCACAGTTGAATTAATTAATGGTAATTTCATTCATTATGTATCTGAATTCTCTCAAACAATTTGTTCCTTGGAGAACAGTGAGGTCTTCTATACTTCAAATACGCTTTCGGTAAGTCTTTAGAAGTCCGTTCAATCCGGACATTGGTACCTTAAATTTCGCAACAGTAAACAGAGGAATTCAACGAGAAAAAGCTACTTTAAAATTCCCCTTTTGATGAAAGACCAGAGTTGCACTCGCGATTGCAGCAAACAAACGAGCATTAGGGCTCTTATGGAAAACATTTCGTTGATTTCAAGAAAAAAACTGTTATTCACCAGCCTAGGTTGGTCCGTATTGGGAAAAACTGTGCAATTTATCTCAATTACCGGTGTTCAAGACCTTGGGCACAGTGTTACCCAATACAGACCTTCCAGCCGGTGAATAACATATTGATCACTGACTTGTACAAGAAACACACACCCGGACACACAAAAATAAAAGTACTTCGATGTGTTATGTTCAAAACAACAAGCATACACAGAAAATTTCACGGGCAGTGTGTTCAACTACTTATGCGCGCCTAAAAGTTCATTCATCGCTCACACGTACAAGTTAGGTGGGCTGAGTATATTCTGTGAACAATGTTTTTTACTTTTAAGAAGCAAGATCAATTTTCATGACATACGTGCAAGACTGCTAATGTTTCAGCACATTATATGCTTTATGGTTGGAATGTGATCTTACCTCCGGGCATCTCGCAAATGTAGGCATCTCCTTTACCATTCCGAGAGATACCATTAAAGAGGCTTCCATTCATGGATATTTCCGCCCTTTCGTCGTTCACACTTGGCTCAGAATCTCGCCATTTCGAAATATTCAGCTGTTCTCCACTCTTCCATATCCAAACACCGCCTTTCTTCTCCAAACCAATGAGCCACGCATTAAAAGTCGAAGTATTCCAAGTACCACGCTTTTGAATCTCATGATTGATAAACTGCCATTCTTCCTCAGTCTCGATGGAGACTAAATAACCTCCCGAGATGGAGCAGACTTCATTGTTAGGAAACCTGTAAATTTTGCTTTTCGAAAATATGTAAGAGGAGTTTTTGAAACAGGTTGGTTGGCACTCTATGAGAAGAAAGTAAATGAATAAATAAATAACAAACGATGGGCATCAAAACTCTCTACATCGCTGAAGCAAATATTAGAATTAGGCTAGGTTTTAAAAGTGGATCTTGGGGAGATCAGGGTAATAACACCGTCATTCTTTGACTTTTTGTTTTGCTTTTCAACTCACGTTTTGAATCGCAATCCAATATAGTTTTAAAAGGAAGTCTATAACTAATTAATATGATAATTAGTCAGGTATTATCTTTTTTTTCCCGTCCATTTTAAGGAACATAAATATTAAATTGGAATGAAGCTGCCTCACCTGTCCCTGGCAATTTCATCAACAAACGAAGGATGTCTGTAGAAGAGAAATGGACAAATAAATTGCTTGTTATCTCAAGAGTAACATTTGAAACAATGGAAAAGTTTATTAGATTTCGAGTAAAACGAATACTAATTCATTTTATTTGCTACATGCCCTTTAACATCTATTCATGAATTTTATTACCTTCCTAGGGAGCTGACGGAGAAATTATAAAAAAAAAAATGCAGCACCTCCGCAATTCACCAACTATCTCAACAAAACTTGTCACATGTGGAAACATTTTTAAGGATACGATAGACCCTTAGGAATGTCCTTCGGAAAATTTTTTGAACGGGTTATTCGGAGCGCAACCGAACTATAAATGAATGAAAAGGATGTAAAATGTGCTATCCAGAGAAAAAAATATTTCGTTTGAGCTCGCATTTTAAGCGAATGAATCGGGTATCAAATCTGAGCGCTCAAATAAAACTTCTGCACAATTTGAATCTTGAGGGGTTGGTCTCCAAAATTTTGTTAGGATTTTTCCATATTCTTGGGAGTTACAAAACTATGGATCAGCAGACCGCGGAACCTGCGGAATCTCCAGAGCCCATATATTTTTTTCAAAAGAAGAGCATTGGGTTGAGTATAAAGTTTGCTTTCGGGCATAAAGAAGAATAATTTAGAAGAGAAATATGTTTTAATTAACCATGACGTTCAACTTGGCGAGCAGTAAGCAGTCATCTACTCTGAGTGTTACTAACAGAACAATAATTTGAAAGCTCTAAAGATTTGGGTACCGCGATATCTGATTAACGCCTCATCCGAACGCTCCAAAGACACCTACTTTCCACTATATGGAATCTAAAAGGCTTCAGGAATCCAATTTATAAGAGATCCATTTCTGATTAAGAACTGAAAGTTCAATGCGGAAATCTTTAAAGTCTGTTTTGTTTTGTTTTGTTTTAATTAACAGTGCCAAATATCCGCCACCTGACTATTTTTTTTTCTGTTTGGTTTGGCTGAATTTCGCAGGACGTTCCAAAATGGATATAAATGTGTCACAAATGGAAAGTCAAGATATAATTAAGGTGGTACTAACCAAGCGTACAACTTATACGAATGTGTCATTAGGGGTGATTATTATTCAATTATTTTTCATTGTAAGGAAAGAGAAAAATATCGAAATAACTAATACTAACGATAATGATGATAATTAGCTTTAATAATTAGACAACAACTAGAGAGGACATGTTAAGAGTTTGGTATGTTTAGTTATTAGAGTTCCGTAAGGTAAATGTCGAAATAAATATTTTACAAATAAAAGTCAATTTTGACGGTTTCATAGCTACCGCAGAACAAACAGGAATAACTAGGGTCGTACTCACCCAGCATACAACATATCACCGATGTTTTGAACATTTTGCAGGATTCACTTATATTTGATTCACACCGCGTGAGAGTTGCGGATTTGCGGCATCCTCACAAAAAGTATTTCGTACGAGTTAGACTTTAATGCAAATCATGATCTCTGAACACATGTTCATGGCATTTTTTTTTCTGTCATAGACGGACCAATGGACAAAAAGCCACTTGCACCTGGTGTGGAGCATTGTTTTTCTAATAGAATCGGAAAACTTCACGGCATTAAAATACTTTTTGTAGATGAAGTGTTGTGGAAGAAGCAGCTAAAAATTATTTGAAGGTAAGAACAGTAATTGTTTTATGAGCTCTGTTATATGAAAGTTGTCTTAAACAAAATTCTGTTTATCAACGGGCAGCTTAAGCTAGTATGCCATCTGTTCGTTATGCATAAATGAGAATTATTTTTATTTATTCATATCGCCTGTGACATGCTAATTACTTCGTATGTCTTTAAAACAACTGCGGCTAACAGCCAAAGTTTAGTGTTCAGCCTACAAAATAACTCTCCTCTTCAAAAGCGTCATGCAGACCATCACTTTTGCGTCCAAATGTTTGAATTCCAACAATTTAGAACGAGCGGTGAGTCAAAAGCTCTTAGTGCGAGACGTTCTTGGATCATAGTGATGTGCTCTGTGGGCAAGACATTCTACTGTCCCAGTATCTCTCCACGCTCATAGATCTAGAATAATTGAATATTCTGGAATATTCGCTCGTCTTAGCTGCGATATATTCAGAGGTCAATCGAAACTTGAAGAGTTTTGACCTATCGCATTTGAGCAGTGTAGAGAGGAAAGTGCTTGTTTACTTCAGAATAATTCTTATTTTAACTTCTTCCGTCATAATCGCACGCTTCGTCACCATGTTTATTTATAAATGGGTATGACGTAAATTAGATTATTATAAACTGTTAAGCACATCTACATAATGGACTCCTTCTCTCTCTCATTGAAATTCCTCTGCAATGCTAAGTTTCACTGTAATGATATTTGAAAACCAGGCCTATCGAAATATTCTGCATTTCTATCGCTAAGCTTTTTCCTTTAAATTGTATACCCGGTGTAAAAGTTCTTTAATCGTTGTTTAATAATGTGTGCCGAATAGTTTATAATCTCTTGGTTTATGCCATTTAAGGCTAACATTGCGCCAATTCAATTCCAAATTAATCGATGTGTTTTCGATTTAAAACGACACTCCTTATTTTAGGAATGCGAAAAAAAAATGGGCACATATAACTGATCCAAAAAAAGATCCAGTCATAAGGGGCTTTTTCCTGTTCTTTCTAAAGAAGTTGTTTACTTATTCAAACATTTACGTATCGATCCATTCATTTATTAAGCAACAGCTTTGAATGTCAGCGTTAGCTGCTAAGACTATTAGTATTATTTTTAACAGTACAATTTAAAAGACAAAAAGAGCATCATTTATCAACAGACCCAATTAATTTATTAAACAACTTGTAATATTCTTGCCAAGGAGCGACTCTTAAAGAAGTAGAATAATTATCCTTAAAGAGACAACCACAAACTATTTCTTTGCTCACCACTGACACAATCTCGAAGTTGTCTCCAAAGTAACTCGAGATTAACAATCTTCCACGGTTGCTCTCTCTCGGTATAGCTTTCTGAAAAGTCAGTCCCTCCCGACAACAATTACTACTACTGCACGACTGTGTCCTTATGTACAAAGTATTCTCGCAAATTCCGGACGCTTACAACACAACGATATTGGTAGTGTTACATCATAACTATTTAACCTAATAAAATACTCTTTCTAGAAACAAATAGTTTCAGTCATTATTCATAGCTTATTATTTAAAGTAATAACAGTGTTTGGTGAGAAGTTTGTAAACTCAATGAGTGAAACATCGAATATGAAATAATCATGCAGTAAGCGCAGAAATTTAGCGCGCAAGAATCGAAAGATAAATACATTCAATTAAAGCTGCGTGCTAGAGTGCTTCTTAAAGAAAGACAATTCGTGATATCTTGGCTTAAATTCCCGCCTTGTCTGTAGTGGACTGTGGTCTTACTCGAAGGAAAGTCATCAAGATACTGAGCTATTAGAAATTTGAATTTATAGATTTGTTTATTTCGATGAATCTTGCCTTCAAGTATACTATCGCCCAGAAAATAAACTTGTTATCGTAAAGAAGATAGATTACAATTACAGTTAGTTGAGTGCTTAAACAATTATGAAAAGAAAAACCTCTTTTTAGCTGCGGATCGCAAGTCAGATCGATCGTAACCGACTTTATGCTGTTAACTAAGTGATTGCAATAAGTAATTGACTGTCATTTCCGGTTGGCTGGATCCAGTTATTTAAGTTAGGTGCGATTTCGATTAAAACTGAGCACAAGACTGCAATTTAACTGCCCATACATCCCCAACCTCACTTGGATGGACCTGTGAGCTCTTCCTTGTGGAGTTGCTCTTTATAGAAGATCGAAAAACGATGTTCATCTTTCTTTTGAAACGCTCTCTGATCTGCAGATAGACGAGCGACGCGAAACACATTCCTAGCACTTGTACTCGGATATCTCTCGAAAAACTAAAACTTGATGATATGGAGTTAACAATTAGTTTGTTTATTTTCCTTACCTGAGTGTTTCGCATGCAGTGTAGAGAGAAAATCAGGAAACCCTGCAGCATAAACATGATTTCAAGATCATTAATTTTTACAATATGCAAACAAATTAGACAAAATACCTATTAAGATTTCCAAGAGGAAAGAGAATTGCATGTCTTATAATTAAAAAAAGAAGTTTGTCTTCTCTTGCATAGTTAACATAATTGTTGTTTTTAGACTTCCAAAAAATATTATGTGACCATCGTAATGGTGTTTCACTTGGTTAGAAAGTAAAATAATGATAGAGACTGATTAATTTTTTACAGTTACCATCGAACACTGACCTGAGCAGAGTTACGTATGGTGAAGATGTGAACGAAAGTTTTATGTACAGGCGAGAGGAGACCGAATAGCCACGTGACACCCAGGAGGGGAATCATCACCACCCATGTTTCGACACCCATTCTCGGAGTTAAAAGAAAACATTCATTCATTTTCCTTTGACAATTAATTTTCATTTTTAGATATCGTAATGCCTTACTGATTAAGGAATGAGGAAGTTAGGCGAATAGAGCCTCACAGGAGGACATGGCTGCCTCTTCCACTATTTTGTTTTAGTTTTATGTTGTGAATCTTACCGTATTTGCTGAAAATGGTCGTCTTCCCCAGTTGGCTGCAACAAATTGGTCATCTCCTTTATGACTCGTACGAGTATCAAGGTGTTGAGCTGAAGAATACAATTGGAATAAATTGATTATTTAGATATGGTTATCGAATAGCGAAAGCAGGAGAGGATCCTTGCCAGAGACGTTACTAGTTTGGTAACAAGCCTGGGATGAAGAGTAATTTATAGGGAATAGAAATCCCAGCCCGGGAGCTTTGATTATCTAACAAAGTGCGAAAGAAATCGCGAACTTAAGTGTCTAAACTGAATGAAAAATTTCAATCTACTTCTCTTACTGCCCCTTTCATCTTATTCAATGTTTTTTTATGAGTTTTTTGTGCGCGAAAAACATACCTTGGTATATCAATGTGAACCAGTAAGAGAACATTAACAAGGAAGGGGAAGAATCTTTTTTCTCATATTATGTAGTTAAAGTTGGAGAATTTATGTAGTTTTTGTAGTTGAGTTTTTGAATATCAATTAGTTCCTCGTTGAGCTGACACCTTCCCCGCCCCCACACTTCTTTCTTCCTCTCCCACCTGAACAGACTTAGAAAAAACGTAAATTAAATGTGAATGCAAGTTATCATAAATGTCCAACTGGAGATACGCAGTTAACCTTATAAAGTTGTTACCGGAAAGTTTGTCAGAAAAAAAGAACAAAAATTTAAAGTGCACGCGACAATCTCAAAAGATTATCTGGGTAACGGTAATCAATACGGACATAGAAAGTAAAGATAAATCAATTAGTGTTAGTTCGTTCTTTTTTTCGTTTTCATACATTTTAGAATTTAAAGTCAGTGTTTTCAATAAAATAGGTTGATCAAACCTGTGATGCCTCCTCCTTAAACTAACATTTTCTTAGCTTTTCCCGAGATCCTGAGGTCAAGTCTAACCATGGCATAAAAGCTACCCGCAACACCTTTCGGGGTTATCCCTTGCACTTCCGACATGCTTTCTTCCGACAGCCTTTCTGGAAAGAACTGTATTTATTTTTTGTTTTTCTCAAAGGGCGCAGTAACGAATCCTGTAATCTTACTGGCCATCAGTGCGGTCCGGATTTTCCTATCTCTGCCCACTGTTACGGTATCGCTTGCGCAAGCCCCGCACTACATGCCTAACTTTGTTGTTATTTTTCGTAAATACATTTCGTTTTGCCGGCTGGGCAGTATTTTTAAGCAAATTATTTGAAAGAAAATCAAGCCGATTAACAACTTATTGATCCTAAATTTCTCTCTCTCAAATCACTTTGGTTGCCAGCCAAAAATTTGGTTTTGAAATGAATTTTGGTCATTAAATGGGTTGACGCGCGGCCTAAAAATCGTTTGTGATTAACCTAAACCTTCAGTAGAAGAAGCTCAGAAAGTTAAAAGGTGAGGTATTTCTTTACAATTGAAATTATTAGTGGAAATTTCATTTATTATATATCTGAATCTCTCAAACAAGTTGTTCATTAAAAACCAGTGAGCGAAGTCTTCTATACTTTAAATACGCTTTCGGTAAGTCGTTGTAAGTCCGTTCAAATCGGACATCGGTTCCGTAAATTTCACTACAGAAAACGAAGGAATTCAGCAATAAAAAGCTGCATTAAAATTCCCCTTTTGATGAAAGACCAGAGTTACTCGCGTGATTGCACTAAACAAACGAGCAAACTCCCATAACTTCAAAATATACTTTTAAATTTAATTACAATTACTTTCACGTAAGTTTATTTGCCAAACCAGCGCCGTTGTTGTTGTTGTTGTCCTTTTTTCTTACGCGCCCTCTAATTGACAGGCGTCAGATTGTGACAGATACTTGTCAAACAAATGTTTCAAAGTTTTTCTAAAGAAGCCTTTTAAATCACTTTTTTCAATACACAAATAAAAATATTTCGGTGAAGCCTCTCTTTAATTTGCATTACCTCAGTCTGTTTCAACTACCATTTACTCGCTCAAAATTTGTTCAGTTCACGGAGGATCTTGCCGTAATTACAGCACTGACTCATTAGGGTTCTTTTGGAAAACATTTCGTTGAGTGTACGAAAAAACTGTTACTCATCAGCCTAGGTCGGTCCGTATTGGGAAAAAACCACTTGACTGCCCTTGTGGATTCACTTTAGTTTTGAACATTGCTGGCATCATTTCTATAATCAATAAGGCTGCAGACCAAGGAGAATTGTGTTTGATTTGTTAAATATCGCCTTGAGAAATATCAAAACAAAAACAAAAAAGCTGAGTAATAAAAACGTACAATTTTACTTGATTCCTTCATATCCTTACCTTCAAGTACTTCATACACTGAAACTCTATTCCCAGTTTGAAAAAGAATCTAAGAAATTAATTATGCTGGTTTGCTTTCCTGGTCAATTAGTTTTCATCTATCACTTTGATAAAGTACTTTTACTGTAGTACAACACCTCAACCCTTTAACTCCTAAGATCTCACTAGTAATTCTTGTCACTGTCTGCCATACAACTCTCGTGATGTTAGTTTGGAGAATTTGGTATTGGATCAACTTATAATCATGATCCCCTAATTGATATTTTACTTTATTCTCATCTGACTTGTCTCCTTGATATTGTATTGATATTGTAAGGAGAAATTCTGTACAGTAAATGGTTTGAACCTGGGGGTAACATGTAATAGTGTAGTTTGATCGTTCGGGTGAGTGTAGTCCTAAGAAGGACTGTTGTCGGTAGTGGTGACTGAAGTTTCGACAACCTGAGGTAAGCCCTGACGACAACTCACTACGGAGAGCAGTTTACAGGAAACCGACACATACCGACAGATTACTGGACGAGTTATTCTTCAACCCGACATCACACAAAGCCACAATTTTCAGGACTCTCACGCGACGAGCGCAACTAGTATGTAACACGACAGACAGCTTCTGCATTAACCTAGTCTATAGAATGACATACAGCAAAACAGAAATTCATGGAGAATATTGGATTATGGCCTGAATGTAACACCATAACGCCACTTTATTAAAGCAGATAGTAATAACGTCTACAAAAAAGAGAGACTGAAAATGTAAACTAGAGAAAGCCGTGCCAGGGGGGGGCAAACCCTGTGGGAAAAACGGATCGGAAATCTGGGGAGGGCCAGGCACGACTTAGTCCCCCGCCGAGACTACTAATTAAATAATTTATTGTAAGCAAACGAAATCCGAAACTAAAGAGCAATAGATCGAGCAACTTTTAAGCGAGCGTTAACAGTGTGCTTAATGTATCTGTTCTTTGAAATGGCGCATTTCCAGCCGGCGTGCGTGTCCAGCAGATCAGCAGAAATACTCCTACACGCAGGATTTGAAGCGGCGCCAGACTTGATACTATGCGTGCCATAACTAGCGATGTCATCTACAAATGGCTTAACGTAATTCCTAAATTACTCTCTAAGCGTCGTGTATGAAACGCCTTTAGTAGCATGAAAATACTCCTTAGACTTAGATTTAACAATTCGTCTAACGAGGGGAGGATGACTCGGTAAATGAAGGAAGAAGCTTGAGTAACCTCTCAGTAATAGAAACTGGGCAAGTAGCCTTATGAGACCTTACTAGGAGGGATGTATGCCCCTTCCGCCAATCTTAGGAGTTACCCATTTACGCCACTTCAGCCAGCCAGATCTGTATTTCTGCTCGGTGGAAGGAGCCCTGGACTCCAACTGTAAATGGAGAAGGTTGGAATAAGCCTACGCAAAGATAGATCGACCAGAGAATTTGCGTCACGTCAAATCCCCGATTGCAGAACGTCTACAAGAAATAAAATAAAAAAAAAAAAAATAAAAAAAAAACAAAAGGTAGAATAACATAAAAAAAGAGATACATAATACAAACAGAAAATGGGATGCCACAAAAACCATCAAAACGGCCCAAGAGATACTGCTAAATCAGGCAAAACACAATAAAATAGCAAACGCGACGTAAAAACAATTTAGCCCAGAACACGTACCGTCAAAACGACGATGCCAAATCAGGCAAAAGGTTCAAAACAAACGGAGGTCAAACTACTGACCAAAATGACACTGCCAAATCAGACAAAACACAACGAGGTTAGACTAAAAGATCAGCAACGACAAGGTGAGGAGCAGAGCTGAAAGAAAAGAGACATGTATGGTAAACAAGGATGACAAAAGCTCACCTAAAAAATACCCGTAAGGCTAACACTCTGAATCTCGGGCAACCACTGAAAACCGAGGGACGCGCCTTGTAAATTTGCCTCTGGCCGGGACCTTCCAACAAGAGGTCTTCAATACAAAGAAGCTCAAACACTACCTTAACAAAAGACTTGAACGGAGAAGAGCTGTCATGCAAAAGGGCCAAAAATAGGCCGAAGGCCACTGTGGAACGACCAGAGTGCCGTAACCAGAGCACGACGAGAGAGCTCTAACAGAAGGGACGATGGCACTCACAGGAGGGCAGACCCAATTGTTCTCGTCTCGCCAATCCTAGGCCAAGGCGTCAACGCCGCTACAGCCGGGAGAGGAAAATTTATAATTGAACCTAGGAGCCTGGGCGTTGTAATGCGACGCAAACCGATCGATTGTGTGAGGGCCTCATTTGGCGTCAATCACACGAAATACAGAAGGGTTGACGGACCAGTCATCTTTGTCAACAAATCTGCTGAGAAAATCTGCCCTTTCATTAAGCGACCTTGGGATCCATTGCGCTTCCAAAATGATGCTGTTAACAAGACAGAGATTTAAAATGTCCATGGCCAGAGCCTGGAGATTAATTTTGGAGCTTCCGATAGCAACAATTCTGGCGGCGCCCTGATTATCAATAAAGATTTTAACTCTCTTGTGTTTCAATTAAGCAACGTAGGAAAGCAATAAGAAATAAATAGCTTTCAGTTCGCGGAACGTAGAACTTTGGCCGATATCCTCGGGTTCCCACATGCCGCTGAAAACGGTGCCGTCTAGAAAAGCTGAAAAGGCAGGCACTACTAAGGCCGAAAGGAAGAACTGCAAAGGTAAACTATCTAACAACGCCGGATAAAGGCCAAGCAAAACCGAGATACTTTTGGTGATCAAGACAAATATCAACATGATGGTAGCCGGACTTAAGGTCCCATGTGAAAAACCAGTGTTCTTC